CCCAGGGATTGAACCCAGGTCTCCCGCATTGCAGGCAGATTCTTTACTGTCTGGGCCCCCGGGGAAGCCTGCCAGCTACAATACAAACTGGCAACTGTCTTCGGTCTCTACACAGATTAAATCATGAGCTGCTATAGCTGCTGACCTCCAACACCCCCTGATAGGAGCTCAGGGTGGAGAGGGGGACTGAGGCACTCTGTGCTCTGGGGAAAAATGCAGAACAGACTTTCAGATAGATACTTTCCAGAGATTTTCTGAGCCCCATTCTTGCATCTCCTCAGAGCTAGAAAAGTACCAAAATCCTTCATGGTGACAACTGTTCCTTGTGTCCAGCAGAAACCTTCTGTGAAAATGAGTGCTTGAGTGCATGTACACCCCCTTCACCAAAATCACATGTCTACTGACCCCCCCCCCACCCGCCTTCAGAGCAGTTTCTCAGAGCTATCTGAGGTGTTGTCTCCTGGACTGTAGTTCTCACTGTGCCCCCAAGAAATCTTAACTTACAACTCCCATGCCGTGCATTTTTTCTGTTGACAAAACCAAGGAGAGAATCCTCAGAGGAAACTAACCCCACCGACAACTTGATCTCAGAGTTCTACCTCCATCATTGTGAGAAAATAAACTTAAAGCCCCGGAGCCCATGGTACTTCATTAAAGCAGCCTGAGCTAAAAACGGGCTTAAACAAATTCAGACTTATTTTCACCTGGAGTTAGGTTGTCCAGGGCTGGTCACCCAGAACCCAGAATATTGCTTTCCTTTTAGCTTTTCTTCCTATGGTTTCAGGGTGGCGTCAGCTTTTTAGGTAGGTAGACGGGAAAAGGCATAGGAGGCGGGGTTCCTTCTGTTGTGGTTTCTCCCCTTTTATTAGAGGGTTTTCATTGGCCGGAGCCAAGTCACATGACCAACCCCCTACAAGGAGTATGGAGAATTCCTTTGAATTGTTCTGTGCCTTCCCCAGATAATTCAGGGCTAGGTAGGTAGGTAGCACTGGAGAAGGCTATGGCACCCCACTCCAGTACTCTTGCCTGGAAAATCCCATGGACGGAGGAGCCTGGTAGGCTGCAGTCCATGGGGTTGCTAAGAGTCGGACACAACTGAGCGACTTACTTTCACTTTTCACTTTCATGCATTGGAGAAGGAAATGGCAACCCACTCCAGTGTTCTTGCCTGGAGAATCCCAGGGACGGGGGAGCCTGGTGGGCTGCCGTCTACGGGGTTGCACAGAGTCGGACACGACTGAGGCGACTTAGCGGCAGCAGCAGCAGGTAGGCAGCACAGGGCTTCCCAAGTGGCACAAGTGGTAAAAAACCCACCTGCCAGTGCAGGAGACACAAGGGACTTGGGTTCAATCCCTGGGTTGGGAAGATCCTCTGGAGGAAGGCATGGCAACCCATTCTGTATTCTTGCCTGGAGAATCCCATGGACCGAGAAGCATGGTGGGCTACAGTCCATGGGGTCATAAAGTGTTGGACACAACTGAAGAGACTTAGCACTCACGTAGGCAGCACACGGATACTGAGTAGACAAATTACAGGGTCTGCAGCCTCAGTTAGGGGCATCTCCTGAAAAGCCAGCCACATGCTCCTGTGACTTATTCTGGAGGTAGGGTCCCTTCAGCTAGCAGCACCATCTCCCTGCAAAGTGGGGGTGAAACTGAGCAGGACTCTGTGTGGCTCCGCGGCACAAAAGCCTTTCTGTGTCCCCTAGTTTGGGGGATTTTTTTTTTTTTTTGCTTGCAGGAAATAGGTTTCATTCAGCCTCCATGACCTTCTCTGAGACCCAAAGGGCAGGTTCAAACAGTTGCTAATCAGGGAAGGAAGAGGATGCAAAAACAAGGGAGAAGCAGGCAAGGAACAATAGTGCAGACTTGGGCAGGGTCCTGGCTCCCCCTCAAGGGATACACATAACAATATCTTTGAGCAGTTTTGCAGATACTGAAACTCCCACCAGGTGGAAGAAGTTAACAGTTAGTTGGTTCAGTCACTCAGTCATGTCCAGCTCTTTGCAACCCCATGGACTGCAGCACGCCAGCCTTTCCTGTCAATCACCAACTCCTGGAGCTTGCTCAAGCTCATGTCTGTCAAATCAGTGATGCCATCCAACCATTTTATCCTCTGTTGTCCCCTTCCCCTCCTGCCTTCAATCTTTCCCAGCATCAGGGTCTTTTCCAATGCGTCAGGTGGCCAAAGTTTCAGCTTCAGCATCAGTCCTTCCAATGAATATTCAGGACTGATTTCCTTTAGGATGGACTGGTTGGACCTCCTTGCAGTCCAAGGGACTCTAAAGAGTCTTCTCTAACACCACAGTTCAAAAGCATCAATTCTTCGGTACTCAGCTTTCTTTATGATCCAACTCTCACATCCACACATGACTACTGGAAAAATCATGGCTTTGACTAGACAGACCTTTGTCTGCAAAGTAATGTCTCTGCTTTTTAATATGCTGGCTAGGTTGGTCATAGCTTTTCTTCCAAGGAGCAAGCGTCTTTTAATTTCATAGCTGCAGTCACCATCTGCAGTGATTTTGGAGCCCCCCAAAATAAAGTCTGTCACTGTTTCCATTGTTTCCCCATCTATTTGCCATGGAGTGATGTTAACATGAGGTTAACAGTATGCAGCCCAGTAGCATGTAGACTCCAGAACAGTTGAAACCAGAAGGTAGATGATGCTGACTCCCACTTACCACCTCATGAAACCATCACGATCCACGATAGTGGTCACCCTCTCTGAATCATTACTGTAAAACTCCTCACTACCTGCTATAGGGCAGGACACACAGTTTTGAGAGCATTACCCCACTCTGGTCTCCTTTACCTGGCAAAGCAATAAAGTGATGTGCTTTTCTACTTCAACCAAGCCTCTGTCTCTGAGATTCAATTTGCCACCGGTGTACAGAGGCAGAACTTTGGCTACACAGTCACATGTTCACCAGGTAGAGCCATCTGCCCACTTTGCGGGGCCATCTCATCCTTTCTTAATGCTGCAAGGCGAACTGACTCCTGGGGTTGTGTGGGATACTACGCCACGTTTATTTGCAGACGAGAAATCCAGGCATTCAATCTGCTCTGTAGGAAATGAGAATTTGTTCCTTCAGGGCTTTTGGCTGTTCATCAATTTCCAGTTTGGTAAATTATCCTCACGAGGCAGAGCTACGCATACTCTGGTGAGATGGGGTGACTGCTCAAAAGTGGGTGTTCGCCCTGGCACGACAGTATCTATCCCTGTCCCCAGGGTGTCTCTGGACCAGAAAAATCTCCTTCCAATCCTTTCTAGGAGTGATGTGGGGAGACAGCCACTCAGCAAATAGGCGTTCACTGCAGTGCCTGCTCGATGGCCAGGTGATGGGGTCTAGGGAACTTTCCTACTGGGAGTTGGGAGGGGCTGGGGGCCAAGACTGGGATTCCTGGACCTTGGAGAATTTCTGCTCATTAGCACTGCTCTTTGGTGGCTCAGACGGTCAAGAATCCACCTGTGAGGCAGGAGACCCGGGTTCGACCCCCTGGTTCAGGAAGATCCCTGGAGAAGGGAATGGCAGCCCACTCCAGTATTCTTGCAACCTCCAGACCATGAGGTTGCAAAGCGTCGGAAACAACTGAGTGACTAACACTCACTTCACACTTCACTAAGCCTCATTTAAGTGGTGTTTGCATCGCGTGAAGGGAGTAGCTGTCTCGTTGATATTCTTTTCTTTCTGAGAAAGGTGGACAGAGCTTCTTCATAATATGCTTGTGTCCTGTTTGTTTGATTCTGAGCCTTTATCACCAACAAGATCATCTTCAGGTTTGTCTAGTTGTCATCCCATTCAATGGCTGGCCCAGTGTCTTAGTCCGTAGCAGGATACTGTGGACTGTTTGTTTGGCTTATAAACAACAGAAAGGGATTTCTCACAGTTCTGGGGTCCAGGCCAGCTAAGATCAAGGCACCAGCTGATGCAGTGTCTGGTGGGAACAAGCTTCCTGGTTCACAGACAACTGTCTTCTCCCTGTCTCCTCACATCATGGAAAGGAAGGGAGCTCTCCAGGGTCTCTCTTATAATGGCACTAATCCCACTCATGATGGTTTCATCTTCATTATCTAATCCCCCCTGAAGCCCTCACCTCCAAACACCATCATTTTGGGAATTAAGTTTCAACACAGGGGTTTTGGGGGAACAAACATTCAGTCTGTAGCATCCTGTGTTCGGCTGGTCCATTTAGGACTTGAATTTGCAGTAAGGCCTCTTTCACAGTCACGACTGTCTTGTCTAAGCAAAGCCCAGATCCTCCCTGAATCTCCAGGCTGCATTGACTGCCCTCCTGGTGCTCCCATCAGACTTTGCGACCCCGTCTGTCGTAGCACATGCCATGCTGCTCTCACGTTCGGCTGTTAGGATCTTCTTCCCGAGACTGAAATCCACTGTGGCAACCTGGGAGGCTGCAACCAAATCATGCCAATTTCCTGCATAACAGTCCCTTCATCTCTGGAATGGAAATAATAGCAAACTTGTTCTTCGTCTCCTCTTATTGGTTTGTGAGGATTAAATAAGCAACGTTGATGAAGATAAGTGGAGAATGAAGTCCAAAAAGAATCAATTTCCAAACTCTCAGTTTTAGTCTCATAATTTGAAGTTTGGATCTACTCATGTTTCCCAGCCGAAGTCCACATTTCACCTAGAAGAGATGGACGTGTTCCGAGCAGTGCTTGAAGTTCAGGAAAAGAAACATTTTGTGTGGTTTAATGCATGGAGCATCCATCTTACGTGTAGATTTTGTGGGGAAAAAAATAGGTGATTTACAAATATTACCTTGATGTGAAGAATGGGCTTTGATCTGTTTGGAGTGGAGTATAAAATGTGTAAGCATTTTTTTCAAATAGAAGAGCATATTTGCTAGAAAGTACTTTTCTCCATTGGGTGGGTATCTCGGTGCGGCTGACCCAGATGCAGGGAGAGACTCTGCTCTCCCGTATGGACGAGGGCTTTGGAGTTGGGCCATGGGGTGCAGTGGAGCCTCAGAACACACCGTCCTCCCAGCTCCTTCTGCCAGGATTCTTCCAGGAGGTCCTTCCCATCTGTCTCTGATTGCTCCCAACCCAGCCTCGTGTCTGTCGGCACAGCAAGAAGCTGCATCCTAGGAACATGAGAAGAGATAAAAATAGAGATAGGGAAGGAGCCGAGGGGCTGAAACGTTGTACTATTTGAAGGTTCCCATAAAGACCTGGCTTGGGGGACTTCCCTGGCAGTCCACTGGCTGAAACTCCTCACTCCCAATGTAGGGGCTCAGGTTCCATCCCTGGTCAGGGAACTAGATCCCACATGCTGCAACTAAAAAAAAAAAAAACAGATTCTGCTTGACACAACTAAAGACCCTACACGCTACAGCAAAGATCAAAGATCCTGTGTGCTGCACCTGAGACTTGGTGCAGCCAAATGAATAAATAAAAAGACCTGAGTTGGAAGGAAAAGAAAGCTCTCCATCTTGGTGTGGGCATGGTACCTTGCTTTCCCACAACACATACTATTTGAGAGCAAACATGAACCCATGAGGACCTCAATATGCCCTAGGGCTGCCCAGGGTCACTGGGCTGCAATGAAAGGGGCAGGAGTCACATTGCTTGAGCATCTCTTAAGTTCAGTGCTGGGCATGTCCTGATCATCACATTGTTTAATCATCCTGTACTCCTGAAGACGTGCTGTTCCCTCCACTGGGTAGACAAGGAACCAGAGGCTACAGGAAATTCCTTAAATCGCCCAGAATCACACTCTCATAGATGGCGGGACCGGGGTTAAAACACACTTTGGTTTGAACCCAGAGCCCACCCACTTACGTGTCATCCTGGGATGTGCCTGGAACTCGGGTGTTTTCCATTTTAACGAGAAGGCAAATTATCCAGCATGTGTCTGGCGCATAGCAAGCACTCCGTGTGTGCATCTTTCGTGATCAGCTAGAAAGAACGTGGTGGACCTGCCAATGTTCCTGCGTTTGTGGAATCCTGCGCTTGTGCTCACACTTTGCTCTGTACGTGTGTAAGTATGCGCTAGTCACCCAGTCATGTCTGTCTCTGTGCGACCGCATGGACCGTAGCCCGCCAGGCTCCTCAGTCCATGGGATTCCCCAGGCAAGAATACTGGAGTGGGTTGTCATGCCCTCCTCCAGGGGATCTTCCTGACCCAGGGATCAAACCCGGGTCTCCTGCATCGCAGGCAGATTCTTTACCATCTGAGCCACCGGGGAAGCCCTTTATCTTTCCACCCCCTGCCTGTCCCATCTTTTCCTTCATTCAAAGTTCTGGTTGGGAAACCATTCCAGCTCCTCCAGCCCAAACACTCCTCTCCTTGGTTTATTCTTGATTTCGTGCTTTTTCCAGCATGTGTTTTCTTCTCTCTCCTGGTATCCAGCCATTCACCACATCGTGGGTCTCGTCTGTGTCAGTCACTGGAAAGAGTGTGATGACTATGAGACCCTGACGTTGTCCCTGGAAAGGCACAGACCACAAAGTGGAAGTAAATGCAGGGCACCTGCTGCCCCAAGGAGAGTCAGATCGAGAACACTGACTCACAAAGCCTCGAAACTCCATCCCGCTCTGTGTGTTGAAGTGTTTCAGAGCCCCCTTTTACTGACTCAGGCAATTTCACATGGTAAGCTTCAGGATGTCATTACTGGAGATGAGGAAAGCCAGCCTTCACTAAAGTGTCACAGTCTATACCAGAAGCTGTTCCGTGGTTTATTATCCAAATCTCTCACATGAGCTATAACCCTTGTATTCAGTTCAGTTGCTCAGTCGTCTCCGACTCTATGTGACCCCATGGACTGCAGCACACCAGGCCTCCCTGTCCATCACCAACTCCTGGAGTTTACCAACTCATGTCCACTGAGTTGGTGATGCCATCCAACAATCTCATCCTCTGTCATCCTCTTCTCCTCCTGCCTTCAATTTTTCCCAGCATTGGAGTCTTTTCAAATGAGTCAGTTCTTTGCATCAGATGGCCAAGTATTGGAGTTTCAGCTTCAGCATCAGTCCTTCCAATGAATATTGAGGACTGATTTCCTTCAATATTCAATGGACTGGTTGGATCTCCTTGCAGTCCAAGGGACTCTCAAGAGTTTTCTCCAACACCACAATTCAAAAGCATCGATCCTTCGGTGCTCAGCTTTCTTTATAGTCCCACTCTCACATCCATGCATGACTACTGGAAAAACCAAAGCCTTGACTATAGCCCACGTGTTAGAAGAACTAATGAACAGTTTCAAAAGTATTTGCTCATTTCCTTTACTCCCTTGAGCAGCACAGACACCCTTCAAGTCACATGTTGGTACCCTTTTTCCATCAATGGTGAAGCTGGGGACATTCGGTCACAGCCAGGGTTGGTGGCAGAGTGGAAGTGGGTGCGGGGAGGGATTTCAGTCCCAAACCAATCCTCATCTCGGTGCTTGCCCTCATGCTAACAGCAAACATTGTGGCTCACATTTTACAAAAGCTTTCAGCCTTCACCTTATAGCACCCCTCTGCTGTGTTGATGCTGCTACTGCTGCTCACTCAGGATTTTGAAATTCTCTCCTCCCCTGGCTTTCTTCCTCTCGTGTTCTTCTGTTTAACTCATGTTTTTTGGCCATTTTTTCTCAGTTTCTTGGACGGCCTTTGCTATTCACTTTCTTCTTCTACAGGGCTTCCCTGGTGGCTCAGAGGGTAGAGAATCTGCCTGCAATGCAGGAGACCTGGTTTTGATCCCTGGGTCGGGAAGATCCCCTGGAGAAGGAAATGGCAGCCCACTCCAGTATTCTTGCCTGGAGAATCCCATGGGCAGAGGAGCCAGAGGGTTACAGTCCATGGTGTTGCAAAGAGACAGACACAACTGAGCAAGTAACACTTTTACTTTCCTCCTCTTGAGGCTGGGGTCCCCGGGCCCTATCCTGGGTCACTGCACTTCTTCCCCGAAGCTGTGCTGGAGGGAGCCCCGTCTGCCCTCATGGTTTACCCCTTTCCCGCTCAGCTCCATCTCCAGTCACCGCACCGTTCACACTTCTGGGTCCGGCTCTCCAGGCACCTCTGGAGCATCTGCACCTAGTGGTACCCGATGTGAAGTTAAGCAGTCACTGTCCTCTCTCCTGGACCTGCTGTCTGTTGCCTTTCTTTGGGTGGGTAGGGGTGGGGACCTCCAGTGGGAGGGAGCCACACCTTTGGCACAAAGTGGGAAATGAGAAACTAGTGGATTTAAAGAACTTACATGGCAGGTAGAAAAACCAAGGACAAGAAAGGGGCAGTGAGTTGTCCAAAGTCACACAGCGGAGCCACAATAATGGCACCATTTTCCACCTCATTTTTCACCGAGGTAAATTTCAGGACATTCATTCAAACAACTGTGCAGACATCTCAAACATGCCACCACGACGCACCTGCTATGTGCAGTCCACAGAGATAGAAACAGCCAGTAGCAGAGAGGATGATACATTATCTCAAGAAACTTACAGATGCCTGGGAGAGACAGACACACACTCAGCTAACGGATGACAAACACCATGTAAGTCTTAAATATTTTGTGTCAGTCCTAAATATTTTACAAAGCGCAATGAATCAAACTTTTCAGTGCCTCCTGCTCCTCCCTCCCTCCTGCAGCTCCCAGGGATTTGTTTCAAAATGTTGATATGTTTCCCCTTTATGCTGCAGTGGAAGCCCCCCGGAGGGTCAGTGAAGGGGGAAGATAAAAGGAACTTGGGCATCTTAGCCTCAAAGGCCGTTGTCTGTGGCTCCAGCTGCTCTGAGACCACGAGCCCTGCGTCTGTGCTTGGCAGTCACTTACATATTTAATTTGACCTCAGGAAAATAGCTTTCTCTCAGTTTCTTGGGAAACTTTGTTTATTCTATTTTCAAATTCCCAGCCAGGAAGAAGTTAGAGGTTTGGCAGCGGGAACGGGCAGCTTCCAGGCCATTTGGCTGTTGCGGCCTCATTTAATTAACTGACCGTCTGTGCAGGCTGGATACGCGAGGCATGGAAATGAGAGGCTATTTGTGGAACTTAGGAGAAGGAAAGGAATGAGTGATTCAGGTTTGTAGGCGTGTCCTCCTCCTTTGCTCGGAGAATGGCTATACCTGCTCCCCTGCGCTGTGTCCCGGTGTGGGCTCCCCAGTCCCTCTTCTCGCCTGCTTTCCAGAGGCCTCGCGCTGCATCAGAAAAAGCCCAGGGATCTGGGGGTGGGTCCAGGCTCTGACTCTAATGAGACACTTGCCCACTGACAAGTCTTCTCACCTCTCTAGGCTCAGCTCCCTCAGATGCACCAGGAAGGAACTGGACTCTGTGATCATCTCTTAACCCCTCGGTGGTCTTAACCCCTGTCAGGCCCCGGGCTCGATGAGTGGAGATTCTGATGTCATGTGCATGCTAAATTGCGTCAGTCATGTCCAACTCTTTACCACGCCATGGACTGTAGCCCACCAGGCTCCTCTGTCCGTGGGATTCTCCAGGCAAGAATACTGGAGTGGGTGGCCATTTCCTGCTCTGGGGGGTCTTCCTGACTCAGGAATCAAACCTGTGTCTCTTATGTCTCCTGCATTGGCAGGCAGGTTCTTTACCACTACTGCCACCTGGGAAGCCTCTTTGATGTCATGGAACTTACCTTATCAGTAGCGAGACAGAAAACAAAGAAGTAAAGAAGTAGATAGGCATCCTTTGAGGATGTGATGTGTGCCCTGAATGAAGCAAAAGAATGAAAAAGGAGCCCAGAGTGTATGTGTCTGATGCCACCTTCTTTCATCCCTCATAGCTCCTTCCAAGAAGAAGCCAGGGGGCCCTGGAGCCATTACTATGATCCCCAGCTGTCAGCTTTCTGGGCTGAAAACAGCGGGAAAGAGGGTAGACTAGACCTGGAGAGGCAAACAGCTTTTGTTTCTCACAACCTCAAAAGAATTTGAAATTACATCAAGTGTTACACATCTCACAGTTCAAAGAGGAAATTGTAATGTGAAATTGTCAATATCTTGTCATTGCTAATGATGAAAGTATTACACACCAAACCATGTATTTTATGTTGGGAAAAAAGAAAAGCTTACGACATTAGTTAAGCATCAAGAAGTTTGAAAAAAGGACAAGACAGTTCTCCTCTACCTCTTTCTAATGTATAAGAGACATCTAAATATAGAACTAGAAGATAGTGACTTAGAAAACAAAAATAAAGCAGAGCAATATTTGCTCCTTTGAAGAGCTAATGTTTTACACATGCGTGTGCTCTTGTACTCAATCGCTAAGTCATGACCGATGCTTTGTGAGCCCATGGACTGTAGCCACCAGCCTCCTCTGTCCATGGGACTTCCCACGCAAGAATACTGGAATGGGCTGCCATTTCTAGGGGTCTTCCCCACCCAGGGATCCAACCCATGTCTCTTGCATTGAGAGATGGATTCTTTACCACTGAGCAACCAGGGAAGCCCAATATTTTACACAGCATCTGATGATACTCATCAAGAAAAAATATGACAGAGTGTAAACATAAACATTAGGAATTAAATAGGACATAACTTACCAATGCTTAGATATTAAAGATATGATGGTCCCTGATGAATGTAATATGTCATTAAATGAAAACAGATAACATGGAAATTCTCTTGAAAAATAAAACTCACATGTCTTTAGAGTAGGGCCCTCCCAAGCATGAGGGAAATATATATATAAAATTCCAGTTTGATACAAATGCCTCCAAAGAATAGAACTCAGCCCAAACTCATTTTGAGGCGAATGTATATAACCTCAGACCCAAACAGAAAAAGACAGCACAAGAATGAAAAATTGAGGCCAAGTTCCTTGTGAAAATAGATCCAAAGTCTTGAACAAGACATTGACAAAGTAAGTCTAGATGAGGCAGTGAGGCAAAGTTAA